TGGTCTTGGTTTGGGGCCTTTCCTGCCATATTGTAAGTCTCTGTGCAATGGAATATTCACAGATTTGTGTGCAGAAGTATACGCCGAATAATCAGACCCAGTTTGAGATTTTTTTTTATACATTATATTTTATTTTTAACCATAAATCCCCATTTCAACCAAAAAAAAATCCATAAAAATAAAACTATAAAATAACTTTACTTGCATATATTTTTTATCCCATAATACTTCTTATTATCTATTTATCGATTTTGCATCATTAGAAACTGACAAACAAATGAAAGCATATAGAACCATTTATATCACTGTACATGTGTGTGTTTCATTTAAGCATCCTTCTTATCTTCCAGTGATGAACATTTCTTCATTATTTTCTCATTTGCTTTCTTCCCTGGGTTAATGCATGCGCTCCGTCCTTTTCTTGTGGTTATGCTGGAATGAAATCAGGTGAAAGACATAGACATGAACTTAGCGATAATCCACAGCAGAAAGAGCAGGATTATGTTCTGTGAGTAATACAATACATCTTTACATCAATTTCCTCCAGCCGCATGAAGCATTTCTGACTTAAACAGCCAATTCCCAGCATGAATTTTACAATATTGTGAAATCCTGACCTCACTTACAGTGAGAGGCAGTTTAAATGACAGTCAGAATCCTGAGAGATGCTCTTTAAATGACGACATTATGATGTCAGAATAAAGTTACAGAAAATCAAGCTACTGCTTTAGCTGAGGACAACCAGCAATATAACTGGCTGATATTTGTAAATTATTACTTCTGGGGTGATTTGTAGTTCAAATGAAAATTTCTTAAGATGCATAAATCTCTTGGTTTTAACACTACCAGTTAAGAAGTAATTGTGAAGTAAAACTTGTAACCATAGTAAGCATTATGTTATTACTAAGCCAATAAATGTTACTGTAACTGAGCAATAACCACTTACATTACAGCATCCAAGCCGCCGCATCTGTTATCTGATACTTCACAGGATGTCACTGCTGCTGCTGGAATTGGCCTTTCGTAGTATTGTTTGCAGCATTTATCTGGTAGTTTGCTGTCTGTAAGTCAAAACATGTACATTTATTTATCAGGCGCTTTTATCCAAAGCAGCATATAACTGAGAAAGCAGGTCAGCCAGTCCCTGGGCAGTTGGGGGTTAAGGGTCTCGCTCAAGGGCACAAAGGCAAAATGACCCTGCTGATCACAGGCTGTGAATCGGTGAACGTCTGACCACAGACACGGCGTCCTGACCCTCTGAGCCACACACTGCCCCATAATACAATCATATTTTTATTAATAAATTTGAAATATTATTCAAAAATATATTTTTCTATTGCAAAATCTACAGTCTGCATGTCAGCACTGAAGAGAAAGAGAGAACTAAACTGAGCAGGTATGAAATAAAACCGACTTACTCTGAGAGAAGCTCAGGGAGACCAGAGCTCCAAGAAGAAGAAGGACGATGCAGGTGAGTTTCATCTTCTCAGATGGGCTGGTAAGCAGAGGACCGCAGCTGTTCTGAGTGACACCGCGGTTCCCCATCTTTTATGCTCCCTTCAGCCCTGTGTGGGATGGCTGGTCCACGTGTGCCCTGGTGACGCCTCATAGCGGGTAGGAAACCGCCAAGGAAAGTCCTCATGCGAGTGTGGTCAGCTTTGGAAACAGTGGCAGACGTGTCACTCATTCCAATTTCCTCCTGACATAAACTCATTTATAATTATACAGTTGTTGTCAAAATTATTGGCACCCCTGGAATTCTTCGATAAACATTGTTGCAATTACAAATGTTCTTAAATGGTTATAGGAAGCAATTGGTTTCAGTTATGTTTTCCAATGGTCCTGCAACTGAATATTAAGTTTTGATTGTCCCATTTTTCTGTGACTTTTTTTCTCGTTTTTTTTTGTGTTGTTCCAATGCACATAAAGGAAATAAACATGTGTATACCAAAACATTTGTAATTGCAACAATTTTCTGGGAGAAATGATGACTTTATCTGGAAAATATCTAGGGGTGCCAATAATTTTGGCCATGACTGTATCTAATACGGCATTAGGTGTTTCTCCAGTGTAACGTCTCAGTGTGTTTGCGGTGCTTTGCTCTCTGACTGTGTGTTGTGTTGCAGGACAGTCCAGTGACAGCGGTGGTTAATTGTTCCTGTTCCTGCCATCGGTGATTGGGTGTGCAGCTTTACAAAGGGGTGCTGTTCCCTTGAGAAGACGCTTTGCTTTTTGCTTGTGTGACAGACAGGCATGGCTTTGGCGTTGTGCCTTGTCATTTTTGTTATTGGGTCTTATTTTTCCGACTTTTGTTATATGAGCCATTATTCGTATTTGTAATAAACCTTTTGTTTTACTGATTATTTTGTTCGTCGTGTGTTGGAGGTTTTTCGCTGTCTCCTTTTTTTTGTTAAGGTTTCCTCTCCCTAGACTGGCACTTAACACCAGCCATGCATTTCGTCCAATTACCCTCAACTTAAGGATGTTAATCAGTATATGGAAGGGTTCATATGACAGGGCAAACACTCACAGTTTCATACTAATCATTTATGGACAATGATTCACCTTCACATCGTTGAATTAGAAACCGTGAAATGATACCAGGAGAGATCTCAAGTGAAAATGAGAAACATAAAACACACAATCCCAAATCACTCAAAATCAAATGAGCTTAATACTTCTCAAGGGAGGGTGGCCCGTGGGCAGTGGTTAGCACTGTCGCCTCACTCTTCTATGACCTGGGTTCGAGTCTCTGCCACCTTTCTGTATATGTGGAATTTGCATGTTCTCCCCCTGTCATACTGGTGGTTCCACTGGGTACTCTGGTTTGCCCCGCAGTCCAAAACCATGCTGAGGCTGACTGGAGTAACCAGAATGCCCATTGGTGTGCATGTGTGAGTGAATGGTGTGTATGTGCCCTGCGATGGGTTGGTGCCCCATCCTGGGTTGTTCCCTGCCTTGTGCCCTGTGATGGGTTGGTGCCCCATCCTGGGTTGTTCCCTGCCTTGTGCCCTGCGATGGGTTGGCGCCCCATCCTCGGTTGTTCCCTGCCTTGTGCCCTGTGATGGGTTGGCGCCCCATCCTGGGTTGTTCCCTGCCTTGTGCCCTGTGATGGGTTGGTACCCCATCCTGGGTTGTTCCCTGCCTTGCGCCCATAGGCTCTGGACCCCCCCACCCCCAAACCTGAATAGGATACGCAGTTACATAAAATGGATGGACTTCTCAAGGGACACTTCACATTAACTTTGTAAAGCTGTAGATACTGTATACTGAAGCTAATTGGATTTTTACTGATGCATTATTAATTGGCTCTGACAGACCAGGGGTTCCCAAAGTGGGGGTCATGACCTCGGGAGGGGTCGCAAGACACCAGCAGGGGGTCATGAGATGATTTCTCGAGTATGTTTTTGTTTTTTATTTTAAAATGTGAATGAAAAGGTTTGGGAAGCCATGTCATAAGCCACAGTGTGACACCCACACACACACACACACACACACACACACACATATGCAAATGCATGTAAAACTAACAGGGTCCATGTCGACAACAGACCGGAGGATTTTGCGTCAGTTTTGCTTCAGATATGTTTGAAATCCCACAGTGAGGAAATATCCCTCATCACTGAGCATAGGCGTGGAATAGCTCAGTGTGCTGGAATCCCAAACAATCAACAAACATTACTGAAGTTCTTTTGTTTCATCGGTAGCTATAAACCTCTAGTAACAGTAGTCTTTTTGGAGAAATAATCATAAAGCTCTGAGCCAAACTGAAATAATTAACATAACACTGTGTTTTGCTTTGATGAAAACTAAACACATGGGCACACTGCCCTGGAGAATTCTGACCCTGCACTGTAGACGGGTGAAAGCCCTGTGATATTTTGGTAAGAAGCATCAGTCAAGCAGCTTAATATGAATATCACAGTGAAAAAGTTAAAACATTTACATTTACATTGGGGCGTCGCTCCATTTTTGTTTCTCTCAAGTAGGGCAAAGCAATGAAAATGATTCCTTTCCCACGAAATCAGCTCTAACCGTTGCACAGCAGCTGGTCCTGAACAGCCTCGTCATCACAGAACAAAACCCACAGCAGAGAATCTCATGCGAAGGTCAGCTGGGGGAGACGAATATGCCGTTTGGTGGTTTTGGTTTTGAATGGCCACCACCTAACACCCACCCACCCCCCCCCCCCCCGGAGCCCATTACCCACAGTGGGGGCAGGTCCTTGCGGTTCCGATGTTGGAAATAACGTACGGTTGGATGGTGGCTTTGGAGCATGGATCTCCCCACTGAGGTTTTGCATTAGACTTTTCCGGGGAGGGTGGGATAGCGTCGGTGAAACCCCCGCGATATAAATACATCCAAACTGCAATCATTACAATCACTACACCTACCTCCGGCAGAGAGATTAACCAATACGTCATAATCAAAAGTGAAACACATTCATCTGATTAATGTGATACATATCGACACAGACTTACTGGAGTCAGTTTGTGAATAAAAACCAAATAATAATTCATTTATTTCATTTAAGTGAGCATTCCATATTATGCTTTAACATAACGTCCTACGTTACATAGCGACATTATCTATCCATCCATCCATCCATCCATCCATCTTCCATAACTGCTGATCCAGTACAGGGTCACAGTGACTCTACAGCTTATCTCTGGAAGAACAGGGCACAGGGCCGGGGACACCTTGGATAGGATACCAGTCCGTCATAAAGCATAGACAAACTTAAGGTATACAAAATAATCATAATTATTTTTGGAAATATACAAAGTGAAAATATTGTTGAAGAACTGAACAACTGTACTTTTATTTGTATCTGTGCTGTTTTATAGTCCCTACCCTCTGTTTTTTAATGTTGAATGAATAAACATCAGATTTATATAGTGCTTTTCAAGACACCCAAAGCAGTCCACAGAACCAGTGGGGAGCCACTTCAATCACCATTTTTACAGTACAGTATCCACGTCACTGGACTGGGGCATTGGGATCCACACAGACCACAGGACGGGCTAACCGGTTGGCCACACCAACACCTCTCCCAGCAGCAGCCCAGCTTTCTAAGCTGGTCTCCCATTCATGTGCTAGCAGCCGAATGCATAACGGTATGGCTGGATTGATGAGATTTCCAGAAGCAGCTTGCTGTTGGCCTACTATAATAATAATAATAATCTTAGTAGAACCCCTGTTTTCCTGAACCACCTCCTATAATACAGTCTGCCCTCCGTATCCACAGGGGATTTGATTGGTTCCAGGACTCTTCTCAGATACCAAAACCCACAGATGCTGAAGTCCCTTATATAAAATGGCATATTATTTGCATGTAACCTACATACATCCTCCTGTACACTCTAAACCATCTCTAGATTACTTGAAATGTCTAATACAACGGAAATATCAAGGGAAAATACAGCAGCCAAATAAATGACTTGATAATGTTACATAAAATCGGGTTTCCTGCCTTCATTTTAAAGACTCAGGATCCCATATTGAATTATAACCAGCGCCCGTTGTTACCAGCACAATAAGGCAGTGCGGGTAAACCAGAGAGGAGAGTATCTCTGACATCAAACCTGATCACTAGGCACGGGAGAAAATGAATGAAGCTGTGTTACTTTTCAGCCGCCCCCACATCTGACTGAAAATGATGATGTTCTACCCAAATTATACTCGCAACATAGTGCTCAGCATGTTTTGCCTTTTGGAACTTTTGGATTTTTAAAAAATATTTTTGATCTGTGGTTAGTTGAATCTGTGGATACGGAACCTGCACATATGGAAACTGTGGATACAGAACCTGCAGATAGGGAACCTGCACATACGGAGACTGTGGATATGGAACCGGCGGATATGGAACCTGCACATACGGAACCCATGGATATGTAAGTCTGACTATATACTGGAGTTTGCAGTCATAGGCCTTCTGTAAGGCCACAAAGCCATGCAGGTCGTGTTAGCAAATTCTGACATCAGTTCACTGTTCCAAGGCTAGGCTGGAATCCACGTTGTTCCCACCTAAAATTCAACCAGTCCTGTCCAGAAATACTTTACCTGCAATTCATGCTATACTGGATAGAGTTATGTATATTATATCGTGGCATGATGATTGATGCAATTGCTTTTGACCAAGCTGCATTTCCTGAGAGACACACGGAACAGGTTGTGGTTTTGTGTAGATAACTACGTAGGACTATGCAATGCTAAAAATAAATAGTGGTTTGATGAGTTAATGACAGCTGCACTGGGAAATTACAATATCTTGTCTCAGTTGCACCTGTTTATTAATATACTATGGGAAACTTTGAAGGTGAAATAGTGTCCAGAATTGGATTATATTAAAAAAGTGGATTAATCCGAGGATTCAAACAGCGAGAACTGGCTAACACTTGACTTGAGGGGGCACAAATGCTTAGTAGTAACTCAGTTACTACTGAAGTACAAATCATGAACAAATATAGTAGCTACTTGATATAAAAGATGCATCACAATTCATTAATGATGAGCAAACCCATTCACATTTCACGTTATTCATTACTCGA